GTGTATGAACAGAAAATAGTTCAGGAAGTACAGCATTAACGCATGCTTTTATTTTGAAAGTGCTTCCGGCTCCTGCGTGGCTCAGAAATACGTCATTCTAAAAATGCGGAAATCCTGAAATAGCTCGTCGCGAAAATCAAGCCTTCCTTTCATTCATCGACCTGTTTTTTCACCAGTAGTAAATATTTCGTTTCCTGTCACCAAGATGCCTTTAACATTTGAGCTTTGCCCCGGACGAATGATCGGAGGAGACCACCCTTGTTTCATCATAGCTGAAATCGGACAGAACCATCAAGGAGACATTGAGAAAGCCAAGAAATTGATAAAAATGGCAAAGGTAAACGAAATTAAGGTTTAATTGAAATAAAGGGTTACGTTAACCCGAGCAAGTTTGCATCAATGTTAACCGTTTTACACACTTTAGTTTTCGCTATTCTAAAAAAAATAAAATGCATTTAGGAAACCTCGTCTAAAGCAATAAGTGGAAAATAAAGTATAATAATGAAAGAAAATCACTAAATATAACAGCTTAATGCTTTATGCATAACAGTCACACAAAAGACAGGAAAGAAAACAAGTGAAAATCAGGTAAAAAATCACAAAGTGGGGCTAATTTACAAACTGAATCATGATGTGACTTTTTGTTTTCCTACCCAAGGCTCTAACTTGTGTTTTTCCTCTCATATCCACCTTCACAGGAGTGTGGTGCCGACTGCGCCAAGTTCCAGAAGAGTGACCTGGCGCACAAATTCAATAAGCGAGCTTTGGAGCGTCCGTACGACACCAAAAACTCCTGGGGCAAAACGTACGGCGAGCACAAGCGTCACCTGGAGTTCAGCCACGACCAGTACAAGGAGCTGCAGGAGTATGCTGAGGAGGTGGGGATCTTCTTCACAGCCTCAGGGATGGACGAGGTAAGAGCCGTCGGAGTAAAGGGTTTGTGATGCTTTGTGTCTCAGATGTTTAACTTCTTGTTCTGTCTTTTTAGAAGGCAGTGGAGTTTCTCCATGAACTCAATGTGCCTTTTTTCAAAGTGGGATCTGGAGACACCAACAACTTTCCCTATTTGGAGAAAACTGCCAAGAAAGGTGATTGTGATTCACCGTAAAGGGAGTCTGTCTTTATTGTTGCATTAAAAGATGCATATTGTCGGTATGTCTGAAAAGATACTGTGAGGATATGCAGATAGCAAATGGTTTGCAAAATGTTCATCGGGTTCTTCTCGTCTGTGTCAGGTCGACCCATGGTGGTGTCCAGCGGGATGCAATCGATGGAGACGATGCGCCAAGTCTACAAGATTGTGAAGCAGCACAATGAAAACTTCGCTATCCTTCAGTGCACCAGCGCCTACCCTCTGGAGCCTAAAGATGTCAACCTGAGAGTGATCACGGTGAAAAGATGCTTCTCTTACACACGAACACCAGGGAAACTCAGAAAGCTGTGGAGAGCTAACTCTTATCACCAGTGCTTCACATTTCACTGCAGACCAGTCTGCATGGAAGCTAATGTTTTAAATGGAGATCTTTAACCCTGCTCCTCGTGACCCACTGGCCTGCATGTTTTAGATGTTTTCCTGCTTCAACGCCTGACTGAAACGAATGAGTGATTGACAGGCGTCTGCTGAAATGACCGGGACAGAAGCAGAAGGAGGTTCTTAAAGAGACAGACGCCAATTTCAAGGCGTTTAGAAACAGATATGATGAGAAGTTGAGTTTATTTTCTATTTAAACATATAAACAACTTTTTAATAACAACTGAAGCAGTGATTGACAGGCTTCTGCTGAAATGGGTGGGACAGAAGCAGAAGGAGGTTCTTTTTTTTTCTTTTGCCAGAAGGAGGTTCTTCCTTGGTATTTTATGTCCATATGACATGTGACTCTGCTTCCTCCATACAAGATATGCCAGTGGGATTGAGAAGGTCCGAGAAGTATTCCTTCCACCTCCCGATGACATCACTGGTTGAGGTGAACATTAACCTATGGTGTCCTGGTGTCACGCTCACTAATGGACAACCTTATATTTGAACATGGTGTTCGTGATGAACAAACTGTGACTAGCACATAAGTCCTACAACAGAACACCATTCAACTTGAGATCAGAGATGCCATTCCTCCAAATTATGCCTCTCCAGGTCACCCTGTCATCACCCACGTGGGCATTAACTCACGTCCAGGCAAGGGACACAGAGTTCCTTGGTATTTTATGTCCATATGAGTTGGTTGAACCATTCTTTGTCTGGATTGTCACTTAGAACAAATTTGTCATGGGAGACCCTACTAGGGGCAATCAAAATTGCCCTTGACAGCATAGCTCCAAGGATCATTCATTAAACATACTCTATATACTGTCAAAATGTATCATTCTGTATGGGAAGCGGAGGGCAACATGCAGCATGCTGCATACACTGAGTCCTGTAGCCCTTTGATACAGACTGTTATGTCCCTGTACGACCGGTGGCAGAGTTTGTTCTGCATTGCCGGTAGTAAGTCAGACTCATTTCCAGTGAGAGTTGGACTCTGCCAAGGTTGCCCTTTGTCACAGATTCTGTTCATAACTTTTATGGACAGAATTTCTAGGTGCAGCCAAGGTKTTGAGGGAACCCGTTTTGGTGACCTTAGAATTGCATCTCTGCTTTTTGTGGATGATATGGTCCTATTGTCTTCAACAGATAATGAACACCAGCTCTCACTGGAGCGGTTCGCAGCCAAATGTGAAGCGACTGGGATGAGGATCAGTGCCTCCAAATCCGAGAACATGGTCTTGAGTCAGAAAAAGGGTAGGGTACCTCCTCCAGGTTGGAGAAGAGGCCCTGCCCCAAGTGGAGGAATTTAAGTATCTTGGGGCCTTGTTCACAAATCAGGGAAGAATGAAGTGGGAGATCGATATGTGGATTGGTGCTGCATCTGCACTGCACTGATCCATCATGATGATTTACCGGTCGGTCTATGTTCCTACCCTCATCTATGGTCACAAGCTATGAGTAGTGACCAAAAGAACAAGATCACGGATACAAGCGGCTGAAATGGGTTTCCTCCACAGGGTGTCTGGGCTCTCCCTTAGAGATGGGGTGAGCGTCTCGGTCATCCGGGAGGGACTTAGAGTAGAGCCGCTGCTCCTCCACGTCGAGAGGAGCCAGTTGAGGTGGTTCGGGCATCTGGTTAGGATGCCTCCTGGATGCCTCCCTGGTGAGGTGTTCTGGGCATGTCCCACTGGGAGGAAGCCCAGAGGAAGACCCAGGACACGCTGGAGTAACTATGTTTCTTGGCTGGCCTGGGAACGTCTTGGGATTCCCCCGGATAAGCTGGCCCAAGTGGCTGGGGAGAGGGAAGTCTGGGTTTCTCTGCTTAGGCTGCTGCCCCCGCAACCCGACCCCGGTTAAGTGGAAGAAAACGGATGGACAGACGTAGTGTGGTTCTGCCTTCTTTTTTTTTCTTCTGGGTTTCAGAGAGGTCCTGAGCTCTGTCTTAATATGCTTTATCAAATATTTTTAACATTCTCACTCATGGTTTGACATAATTGTTGTATAAAGCTTGACACAGAGAGAGAGAGCAATGACATTTGACTTTTACTAGACCTTTGTAAATGGGTGGTCAGAAGGACTGGATCAGCACCTGCATCTGAGAGTTACTTATTTCCATAAAGTGTTATTATTAATAAAATATTTTATTTGTTTTATGACAGTATATAAAACAATGTTACACGTTTATCAAATTACCTTACAAAAGGAGGGACTAGAAAATAAACAGATGAATTTCTAAGACAATCAGGTCATTTGTAGCCTGGTAAAAACCAGCCGCTTGTCCTTCACTTTGCTTGGAACGAGACTCTGGACTCTCTGCTATAGAGAAGCGATTCTTGCTGGAGGCGTGGCCTCTGCTGAAGTTTAAAATGAATGGATCAGTTGGCCACGACGTATATGTGTGCCAACTCCACTGTGAAGGAGGCTAAGCTAAGAAGCTAACTGGAAATCGCGTGAGCTGTTAACAACCCTACTGAGAGGAGAAAAGTACCGAGCCGAACGAGACGACTGTAAATGAGAGCTGCTGCTTTGTCAGACAAATTTAATTTAATTTGGAAGCCTTATCAACACAGACTGGTTTCATTCTCTTCCTCCACTGCCGTATGCTAAAATAACTAGCAGACACTGCGCAGAACACGACGTCATTCAAAACTCCTCCTTCTGTTCTCTGATTGGCCCAGGCAAAATAAACTACAAACAGACACTGTTCAGAAAACCGATGCTCTGTTCTCTGACTGGCCCGAATTAAATGCTCCTGAAGAAATCCTTGTCTATGGGAGAAGTCCCAGATGGAGCAGTGAAGGGAAACAAGAATTGAGCGGAACTGCGTAGGAAGGCAAGGGCCAGGCTCGGTCATTTGTCAAAATCCAAAACAAATCCTGAGCTTTTCAGTCCAGATAACATCTCCACAACTAAACCTCAAGATCCTGCTCATGGACTCCATAAATGGGATCAATATGTCCAACACACAGTGGGAACAAAGAATATGAGTACAACTCATAAAATCCCTTAAAGGGGGGTTATTATGTATTTTACATGCGCTTATTATGAAAATGCTGTATATATCAAAAATAAAATTGACTTCACATCATAGTTTATCTAAATGCCTTGAAGAACCTCCTACCACTTCTAACACTCCCACTTCAACACATTTTCAAACAATTTTTTCTATGGGGCGGGAGCTCAGTTGCAGACTGAGCTCCAGGGAGGAGCTTTGTCCAAATAGGCGGAGCTTTGTACCAGTGAGCGTTTAGGCCAGGCATGGGCAATCCTGATCCTCGAGGGCCGCAGCCCTGCACGTTTTACTTGTTTCTCTGCTCCAACACACCTGATATG